GCGCCGATTGGGTTTAAGTTTTAGGGTTTAGGGTTTAAGGTTTAGGGTTTAGGGTTTAAGGTTTAGGGTTTAGGGTTTAGGGTTCAAGGTTTAGGGTTTAAGGTTTAGCGTTTAGGGTTGAGGGTTGAGGGTTTAAAGTTTCCGCACTCAGCGTTTTCAGCTTTCAGGTTATAGAGTTAAGAGGGCCTGTGGCCCTAGAGGAGATGTGTAGAGCATTGTAAAGTTTAATATTGTTCAGGTGGTTGAAGATGAAATAGTAGCATATACATAATTTAGGGGCTTTAACAATTATCTATACTATTCTGGGGGTTCCTTATTACAATCATAGTAGAAGGAGCCCAAAACCCTATTCTAATTCTTAAGGCCCCTATATTAAACCACCCTAGGCCCTAAACCCTAAACCCTATAACCCTCAACCCTAAACCTCTAACCCCCTATATTAGCAATCTTTGCCTGCGGGGATAGTCCGGGATTGCCATGATGCCGCGGCACGATGCGCGACGACGGGCGAGGCACCGGAGGGTGAAGATAGCGTCCGGGTGCCTCTTGCTGAGAGAGCCAACGTATGTATATTTATTTATTTATTTATTTATTTATTTATTTATTCATATTTATATTTATATTTATATTTATATTTATATTTATATTTATATTTATATTTATATTTATATTTATATTTATATTTATACTTATTTATATACACATCCTCTCTCTTTCTCTATATATATATATTTATCCCTCAATTCCAAAAGTGTATAATTTAAATGATGGCGAGCATAGCTTCGTGACTTAAGGTATATTGCTAATTCAGGTGTGTGCGTTTTCGCAAGCAATCAGGATGGTCAGTTCTAAAAGGGCATCGCTTATGCGGATAGTTTTCTAAATTAGGGTCCCTCTTCGGGTCCCCAATTGTGCGGCACTCTTATAAAAAGGACCCTCGAAGGGACCCTAATTTAGAGAACTGCGCATGTAGTTGCCCAAATAAGGTATGATCTTTAATCTATCAGCCTGCTTGCTACACATCACCGGCTTGACTTTGTGTCTGTCTGTTGAATGCTTGCACGTTTAGGAGCGTTTACCGTTAAGTTTGTTCAAGACGCATGAGGCTGGGTCGAAGGTTGGGTTTCAGGTGTTCTAGGTGTGATGCCGAGTTAAGCTAAGTTTTGGGTTCAGGGTTTTGGGTTTAGGGTTTAGGGGTTTAGGGTTCCTCAACAAGAACTGCTCCCTGAGCACCACGCGAACAATCATTCTTTGGCTGTGTGAAGCTCTCAGCAGTGGTCCCTCCTGGGGCGACTGACATTTCGTGGCAAGTAAATCCGCAGAACATGCAGGGACCGGGCGGCACCATTAGCTGCGGTTCGAGGCAGAACTGTTAAGATTCAGTGAAGATAATGGTCAGAACCCATGCAAAGGAACAACAGTTGTTGAGGTTCAGGTGATGTTCGCCGGCAAGAGAAATGGGATCATGCGACTGTGGGAAACCAACTACAGTCCTCTGGACTGCAGCCCCCACTTAGCCATTAGCAAGGGGGTCTGGGTTACTCGAAACATTACTTTCATTTGAGTCTTATAGGCTCCTTCATGTGTGTAGTTCTCTAAATCAGGGTCGCGCTTACGGCTGGCTGCCATGCTATATTGGGGGCTGAAAAAAGGGACCCTAATCTATTGAACTACCCATGTAGTTGGTGGTTACGGGATCATACGCTGCACTTCCCCTGAATTAAACCCCTCCCTCCAAATGAGGCCTGCGCCCTCAGGACTAAGCGAATAAGGGGGATTCAATTATAACAATAAGCACTATGATTCCTGAGGGTTGCTTAATGCGTTTATAACCCCAGACCCTTTGCAAATCATTAAGCCCCCTTATTCGACCTAAACCTCGAAGTCGAAACAATGCTCCTTAAAGCCGTAAACACTAAACCCTAAACCCTAAACCCTAAAACCTAACCCCTCTCTCTCTCTCACACACACACACACACTAAGCCGGAAACTCCAAAGCCCAAGCCCAGAGAGCCTTCGTCCCTCAACTACAGCGGAAGGCGGCGGAAGGCTGCTGCAGCGTTCTCCGTGGCATGGGCGCTGGGAGCAGGTCTCTTGATTTTAGGAACCCCAAAAAGGACATAAGCATAAGCTGTTTGTAGGGATATCCCTACCTGATTGGGCTTCATTATAAGGGGATTTATGTGCTTTTTTGGGGCCCTATGTTTTCCGCTGCAGGTAAGGAGTGGAATAAGGGTTGTATTTATCTGAGGTCCCGAAGAACTACCAATGCTATTCCTTAGGGCTCCTTGCATAGTTCGTGAGTTATGCTGTATTATAGCCCTAAACCCTAAACCCTAAACTGTCATCCTGAAAAGTTACAGCCGTTTCGGGTTTAGGGTCTAGGGTTTAGGGTTTAGGGGTGTTCAACATGGGTGTCGGCTCGTTCTGCTGCCCGCATGGGGGCCGCGCTCTAAATCCCAAGCCTTACATCTTGATTCCTAAGCCCTAAACAAAACCCTGGAACCCTGGCCCCAAAGCACGCTCAAAGACTAGCCTAGACGCCTAGACGATGAACCCACAAACCCCTGGAACCCTAGACCCAAAACACGATCAAAGACAAGCCTAGACAGTGAACCCGCAAAACCCTGGAACCCTAGACCCTAAACCCTTGAACCCTAGACCCTAAACCCTGGAACCCTAGACCGTAAACCCTGGAACCCTAGACCCTAAACCCTGGAACCCTAGACCCTGAACCCTAAAC